GGGATCATGACCTGAGCCGAAGGCAGAGGCTTTAACCCACTGAGCCACCCAGGCGCCGCCAAACTAGGATTTTTTAAACCTGAAGTTCATTGGCCCTTGTAATGGGAAATCCATGTATGCAACCGGCTTTAGGCCTCTTCTCTTTCTCTTAGATAGTTTCTGCATCTGCTCAGTGGGCAAGGGGGCCCAGCAGACCCAGATTCACCATACTGTCAGGAGAAAGACAGTCTCTCTCCCATGACTTTGGCAGAAAGTTGCAGGAAGGACCCTGATTGGCTGGCTTGAGTCATGTTCCTGAGACAGTCACTACGGCCCAGGGATGGGGCACCCTGATGAGCTCTGCTCCTGTGTTTACCTCATGTGACCACAGGGGAAGGGTTCCCCACAGGATGGGGGAGACGAGGAGCTAACCACATACAAATGACAGATGGGCACTTCAGAGTCAGGGTCTGAGGGGTCAGGTGAGGATGCTGGAGGCAAAGGGCCAGAGATGGGACTGACCGTGGATGTTCCCAGAGCTGGGAGGTGATGAGGCCGGTTAGTCAGGGTTGGCGGTAACAGCTCTTATGGGAGACCCATTCTGCCACTCCACTACCCTCCTCCCTCACCTCTCTCTCCCCAACCTCCTCTACCCCCAGTGCCCTCCTTTGCCTCCCAGTGCTGTGCCCTAGCCTCTTGGGGCTGGAAAGATGGTCACCCAGGGTGGGGCCTGGGGGGGGTCTCTGCTCTTTCTAGGTTCAAAACCTGAACAACATCGTCTCATTCCCCCTGGACAGTCTATTGAAGGGGCAACTGAGGGACGGGCGACAGGTGAGTTACCATTTGGGGCACAGGGGTGCCCAAAGGTGGTGGGATGGAGGGAGAAAGCGGTGGGCAGGAGACCAGAGGAGAGGCAGGGCTGGGCTGAAGCCGTAGGTCAAATGAGGCTGTCACTGTGGGACTGCTGACCCCATATTATATGGGACTCTTGGAAGGACAGGAAGATGTAGCTCTGGGGTCAGCCAAGGATGGCTGACCTACTGTGTGCCTTGGCCCTTGTGTGAGATAGCTCAGGCTACTCTTACAGTAGCCGCACAAGGTGGGCTCTGTAGGCATTGTCGTCCCTGCTCTGCAGGTGAGAAAACCCGAGGCCCAGGGAGTTTGGTAACCTGCTTACAGTTCATACAGCTGGCGGAAGAGCCAGGGTGGGCTCTGGGGCTCTTGACTCTCATGCTTGGCTCATCCCTGCCCTGGCAGCTCCCTGCTCCAGGCAGAGCAGAACTCAAAGAAAGTGACAGAATAATCTGCCTGAGAAATCTGTCCCAGAAGGCTCAGGGGAGACACTGTCCTCCCCCCAGAGGCTTCCCTCTTGCCTAAGGCCAGTCACCAACCTGAGAACCACCCAAACCAGCCGGGCAGCTTCCTGCCTACCCCCTCCTGGGCTGAATGGGGCAATTCTGAAGGGTGTGAGCTGTCCCAGGCAAACTAGGCCAAGGATCAGCCAGGTGTCACTGGCTTGCTGTGTGGCCTTTGATAGGCTTCTTAGCCTCTCTGTGCATATGTCCCTCTATCTGTACCCTTCCTGTTGAGAGGATGATCTAGTACCAGGCAGGAGGAAGGAGTGGGGTAAAGTTAGGGGACGAGTCTGACCTTCATCTTTCCATCCTCATCCTCATGGCGATCTCTGTCTTCTGAGGGAGAAGACTTAGGGCAGACCCCAAAATCTTCCCACACCTCAGGCCAGGGCCCACCAAACCCAGCTGATTCTTAGCAGCTATGGGAGGAGGTTGGGTGGGTGAAGGGGCTCAACCCTGAGAACGGGGCCGGTTGGGTCTATTTGGGGGTGGGGGCGAGGTTTACAGTAAGGGCTCCGGGGGTAGGAGTTAGTTGGATTGTGGCTCTGAGCAGCATAGGGGAGCATGAAAGCGCAAAGTTGCCTTAAAGGTAGCAAAGTGTGCTGTGGATTCCCAACCCCAAGCACCCCTTTGGGCACATTGTTCTTTCTAAATCATAGGATTCCAAAAAGCAGCTGGAGAAGGCGTGGAAGGACTATGAAGCCAAAATGTAAGTGGCTGCAGTGAGGGTGGGTTTCCCAGGGGAATGATGCTGGTGTTGTAGCAGGAGGCTAGACACTGGGGAGAACTTCCGTGCTGCCCGAACATGTCACCCACAAGTGCACGGCCTCTCACTCTCTAGGGGCATTCATAGGGGGCGATTTATGCCCAGGCCTGATGGGAGTCTGGGGGCTGGGCTGCGAGACCACCGAAGGGAGACTATTGTGAAGGGACCTCAAGATGCTGCTCTCAGAGGCCCATCTGCTTAGTGGTGCCAGATGTGGGCAGAGGGATGGAAAAAAGCTATCACTTACTGACATACCAGCCACTTAATCCTCACAAGCACCCAGCCCTGTGCAAGAGGGGTTAGCGTCCCGATTGTCAGAGGAAGAATTGGAGGCTCAGAAGGGTTAAGTCACCTGCCCAAGGCCACACGGCTAGGCAGAGGTAGGACTGGGATTCATGCTCCTTGATCCTTTTTCTGCAACACCAGGTGGTGTCTCGAAACATTTTGGTGGACATAGAGGAGGGAAGGGAGTTTGTGGTCATACCCAGGCCTCTTGGGTTCACCACACAAGACACTGGACCTCTCACCAGCTACAGGGCCATCATGGGGACAGAAGGAGCTAGTTCCCCCTGAGAGAGACTCCTCTATCTGCAGGACTCTGCCAGGGCCCACCCAGGCTCACCATACCTCAGAGCACTTGGTGGCTGTTTGTAAAATTTTGTTTCTCTTGCACTTTGCGAAAGCAGTATGTGTCCATTGAGAATAACTTAGAAAATAAGAAGTAAAAGAAGAAAATATTTTAATTATCCTTAAGAGAGGATTAGGGCAATGTGGGGACTAGACACTACTTCTCTGTTGTTTGTATATTTATACATAGTATGAGTGGACCCTGTCATTTTGTCACTTAAAAATGTGGGGATAGGGAAAACTACCAAAACCAAGAGGAAAATTCTTAATTTCCGAGCCTCAAGTAGTAACAGCTTTCTGGTCATTTTTCTTTTTCTTTTCTTTTTTTTTTTTTAAAGATTTTATTTATTTATTTCTCAGAGAGAGAGCGTGAGCACAGGCAGACAGAGTGGCAGGCAGAGGCAGAGGGAGAAGCAGGCTCCCCACCGAGCAAGGAGCCCAATGTGGGACTCGATCCCAGGACGCTGGGATCATGACCTGAGCCGAAGGCAGAGGCTCAACCAACTGAGCCACCCAGGCATCCCTCTGGTCATTTTTCTATGCATAAAGAAATATTTTTACAAAACTGAGAACAGAATAATCATACCTTTTTTTTTTTTTAAGATTTTATTTATTTATTTGACAGAGATCGCAAGTAGGCAGAGAGGCAGGCAGAGAGAGGAGGAAGCAGGCTCCCCGCTGAGCAGAGAACCCGATGCGGGGCTCGATCCCAGGACCCTGGGATCATGACCTGAGCCGAAGGCAGAGGCCCTAACCCACTGAGCCACCCAGGCGCCCCAATCATACCTTTTTTTTACTTAAAAATACATCATGACCATCTTTCCACATTGTTACATATTCTTATATGACATCACTTAAACGGGTGCCAACATATGCATAATTTGTAAGGTATTTTGTCTTCCCTGCCTTTGGGGAAGCATCCTTGGAACGAGATCTTGGCTCCTACCCATAATTATTGCTTGTGTAGGATCATTCTAAGTAGATCCTGGAGCTTTATGGTTCCTCCAGCCCCAGGGCCATGGGGATCTCCTGAGGCTGAAGGAAGGCCAGGACAACCCCCTCCAACCCTGTGCCAGCAGTATCCCTGTCTACACTGCGGCTGTGCATGTAGACCCCGGGGTGAAGGTCACAGGAGCTGTGATGGGCATGGCCATTTGCTCTCACGAGAGGCCCAGGGACGGGCACGCACACGCAGGCAGTCTTTGTCTTTGGGCTTGGATGTGGGGTCGCAACACGGCCTGCATCTTACTGAGTTTCCTTAACCAAGCCTGCAGCCTCGCAGGACACCATGTACCAAATGGAAAGAATAACCCCTACCTCCCAGCCTCCTCCAGGCAGTTCTGCTTTTACCAGAGTTCCATCTTGCTCTTGCCGGTAAGGTGTTGTTTCGAGAAAAGATGCTGCAGTTGGTGGGGAGAGGGGCTCTGTGAAGATTCGCCAGTGAGGTATCACTGGGGCCCGGTCTGGACCCGAGGGCTTCTGAGTCTGGTGGTCTCTCTGAGTCCCTATGCTCTGTGGCCTCCCGGCCCCTGCCATGGGCGCTACACAGGCTGAGCTCCACATCCCGGCACAGGTGTCCGTGTACACTCCTTTCTGTGAGGGCTTCAGGTGTGGCTAGATATTGGTGAGCCCCGAGTTTCTGTGCATTTCCACCTCCTTCCTCCCACACCGGTCTGGGCAGCAGCTGGAAAGGCCACGAACAGCATCTGTCGGATACCACCAGGAGTCGCTTCCTGGTTGGTCACAGAGGAGGGTGAGTTCTCTGCTCTGCCTGGAGCTGCAAAGAAAGGCATCCCAGGCCCTGAGCAGGGGCCGAGTTTTTTTCGGTTGTTTCGTGTGCGGGTCCATTTCCTCATCTGAAACACAGGGCCGGTGATACCCAGCAGGGTTGGCGTGGAGATGCAGTAGAACATCTAATGTTCTACTTACATGTAACGTTCTTTACATGGCTGTAAAGCGTCTAGCACTGCACATCAGCAAGTACTCAGTGGTCATCTTTCCGAGACCAGAACCGTGACCAGAATAGCAAGCAAGGGGCCAAGAGGCAGGAGCCAAACCCTCGGCTCCTAGCATTCCCCCCCGACCAGACTGGGATCTCGGACAATCACGTCCCTTCTCCAGGGCTCGGCTTCATCTTGTGTAAAACAATCCTTCACTGTGACCTGTCAGAAAAGACACCATGGTTGGGGGGAGGGGCGCGGGCGGTGAAATAGGTGCTGGGGATTAAGTACACTTACAGGGTGCCTGGGGGTATAGTCAGTTAAGCAGCCGACTCTTTGTTTCGGCTTGGTCATGATCTCAGGGTCGTGGGACTGAACACCACATGGGCCTCCGTGCTCAGCCAGGAGTTGGCTTGAGGTCCTCTGTCCCTCTCCCTCTGCCTCCTCCCCCTCACGCTCTCTCTCTCAAATAAATCAATCAATCACGTACCGTGATAAGCACTGAGCAATGTATAGAATTGTCAAATCGCTATATTATACACCTGAAACTAATATAACACCATATGTTAACTATGCTGGAATTAACATTTAAAAATTAAATAAATAAATACATTTGGGGAAAAAAAGAAAAAAAGATACTGTGCCTGTCACCAGCTGGGGCGGGAGGTAGGGGGCGGGAGACCAGGCAGGACAGGAGGGATGGAGCAAATCTGAGGCACCGTGTTGGTTACCAGTGTCGTCCCCAAGGCTCTATCGTCAGACAGACCTGCAGCCAAATCCTAGCTCTGGCACTCGACAGCCGAGCAATCTGTGACCCGTCTCAGCCTCAGGCTCCTCAACTGTAAGATGGGGTAATGAATCCTGCCCCATGGGGTTATCGCGTTAGTGCGTGAAGGGTCTGGCAGAGCACCCAGGATAGTATTAGTGCTTAAAAATAATAATTAGTAATAATAGCAGCTGATACCTGTACTCAATTAAGAGCTTCCTCTGTCCAAGGAACTGTGATAAGCTCTTTAGATCATCAGACTGACTCCCCTTGGCAGGGAAAGGGGCTGTTACTGTCTCCAACTTATAGGTAAGAAGTAAGGGAAAAAGCACCACCAAAGTCCCTGCTTTGTGGATCCCACTGGTTTGTAAGCGAGAAGAGAGGTGGGTCGATAAGTGACGGAAATACAAAGCGATGGTGCCACAGGGATGGTGTCAGCGCTGGGGTGGCAGAAAAGACAGGTGGTTTGGTTTGGGTGGGGGTGGAGGGGAGGAGGTATCACAGGAGAGGCTGTTCAAGGGGTCAGGCTGGCAGATACATGATTCGTTTTGATTCCTTTCCTCTCCCGCCGTCCTCCTCACTGCCCCCCTCACTCCCCGTCTGAATACTAGACTGTCCCGCAAGTCCCCTTTCCATTTCTCTCAGTGTCCTCAGGAACTAGCATTTCCCTGCTTCTCACTCCCTACTCATTTTACTTCTCTTGAGGCAACTCCATTCGAAGGAAATAAAAGTTTTCCAACAGTTGAAATGTTTAGAAACCACTGGTGAACGGTTGAGGACATTGAGGGAAACGGAGTTGTATTCTCTTCCAGCCAGGGCGTGAGAGAATAAAAAGCACTCCCCAGCTGGCAGTTTGAGGTTGGCAGGTCATCTCAGGTGACCAGGTCAGCTTTGGCAATGTAAATTTCTGTAGGTTACCTTAGCGGAGATGGAGGAACAGAGCTATGGTAATTCACAAAGCCGTGTACCGTACTTTACAGCTTGTTTTCATCCTGCGCTACCTAACTTCTGTCCTTTAATCTCCACTACACCAGTAGCCCCCACCCCGAATTAAATAAATAAATAAGGAAGGACCCTGTGCTAACATACATACACACACACACACACACACACACACACACACACACACACACACATTATCTAAAGGAATCACCAGGTGGCTCAGTTGGTTGAACATCTGCCTTCAGTTTGGGTCGTGATCCCAGGGTCCTGGGATTGAGCCCCAAGTTGGGCTCCCTGCTCAGTGGGGAGCCTGCTTCTTCCTCTCCCCCTTGTGCTTCCCCTGCTTGTGCTTGCTTGCTCTCTCTCTCAAATGAATAAATAAAATTAAAAAAAAAAAAAAAGGAATCACCAGCGGTTATTACCATAACCATCAATATCACTAGCATCATCATAATCCTGCTACTTATTGAGGACTTACCATATGCCAGGGACCATACCATGCATTATACCATCTGAGAACAAAACAGTATTTGTCTCGTTTTTGAAATGGGGGAAATAAAGCTTAGAAAGTTTTATAAAATTTAGGTGAGAGAGCTGCCATTGAAACCCAGACTGTGCATTTCTAGCCACTGTACTGTATGGTGCTTCCTTTTTGTCCATGTACTCTGGAGCAGATGTCTCTCAATGTTAGTACATACAGAGCTTCCTCATCCTTTTTTAACAGTTGCATACTATTCCCGTAGCTGGCCATAGCATAATTTAACTACTTCCTCCTGATAGACATTTAGTTGTTTTTCATTTTTTACTATTGAAAGATGTGGTAGCAATGTCTGTGGGAGATTCCCCTGCCCTGCCAGCAGCTCTGTCCTCTCTGTCTCCCACCCTCCTTAGCAAGCTGCCAGGCTCACTGCTGACACCCTGCTGTCCTAGCCAGCACCTCTCTCTACTGCTCATTCAGATCCCCCAAAAAGCATCTGTCATGACCCCCCAGGAGGCCCGGGTCATAGGGTCAGTCCCCACCCTAACTCCACTACCCTGTCACAGACTCCCTCTCGGGATATCATCAAGTCTTAGGGAAATGTAAAAGAGTCACTCCCAAGAAATTTTTTCTAGAAAACCTACAGAACTGCACCCTAGAGCAGTGGTTTCTCAGTCGGGAGTGATTCTGCACCCCCACATCACCCCCCGGGAGATATCTCTGGCTGTCAAAACTGGGAGAGGCTACAGGAACCTTGTGGGTAGAGGTTCCAAACATCCTACATCCACGGAACAGCCCCCACATCAGAATCATCTGATCAAAGTATCTGCAGTTCCAGGGTTGAGAAGCTGCTCTCTGGGTCTCCAGGGACAGATTCTGAGTATAAACACTACCCCAGAGGCCTGACCTCAGTGGGGCCTGGAACTTTAAAGCCAGAATGAACTCTGCCTAGGCCATTGCTTCCCCACTTTACAAATGGGAAAACTAAGGCCTACAGGGACCTGTGATAATAATAGCTGTAGGGTCTTCTGTGTGCTAAGTCTGCTGTATCCTCTGTCTCATCTGAGTACAGAGAAGGATCCCCATTTTGCAGATGGGGAGACCAAGGCGGTGGGGGGGAGTGACGTTTGTCATGTATCCCACAGCCATCTTTGCTTGGGGCTGGCACCTACTTGAAATCACCACTGATAAGCAAGATGTCTCCTTGACAGAGGAACTGTGGGACAGGTGCCCAACCCCAGATGTGGAAACACTCTTGGGCTGAGAGTGGGTGGGCTGCTGGGTGTGGGATTTCCAGGAAATCATTTACACACAGATCCACCTATCCCTGAAGAGGGAAAACAGCCAACCCTTGAGATCTGTGGGGGCAAGGCCCAGGTTGCTCTCAGCTGCAAGCCCAAGAGGCCCCGTCTTCACTCACAAAGAAAACACGGGTTTGCCTAAGCTTTACCTGGGAGGTTCTGTGGCTCAGAGCATGAAGGCGCTTGGTGATCCTTTAAGCCATGTGGTCCTAAACCCCTCCCAGCAAAATCACACTGGTCACCCCAGACCTCACCTGGCCCTCATCTAAGCCTATCACTTCCTACATAAAAACCTTCCATTCCTTCCCACTGCTCTTGGGAACCCTGACATGATCTGAACCAGGCCCTGTGTGATCTGGCCCCTCTGTCCCTTACCGGGAACCACCACCTCTCCGCCTCCACTCCTGAGCCCTGAGGCCTCCTGTCTCCAGCCATCACAGGGTCTGATGCTCCTAGCTTCCTCCTGGCAACTCCACAGACCTCAGCTCTCACCTGGAGCAGCGCTTCCTGAGCGGCCCGTGGTCAGATCCCCATTTTAGCTTTCCGTGGCTCTCTTGATGGCTGGGATCTGATCCACGTCATTCTCCCCCACCAGCCCGTGGGTTCCCAAATCTGCCTCATTCACCACTGTACCCCCACCCTGCCACACGGCTGACGCACGGGAAGCCCCCTTGCTCTTGTGTGCTCGTGGCAGAGAGGAGCATGGGGAGGTGGAGGGACATGAAAGGGGCCCCAGTGAGAGTTGTTCAGGTTTCTCTTTCCTTGGGGCCTAGGGCCAGGCTGGAGAAGGAGAGGGACCGGGCCCGGGTGACAGGAGTGGCACCTGGGGAGGTGGCCCAGGACACTCAGAGAGAGCGGCGCGTCTTCCAGCTGCACATGTGTGAGGTAAGGATGCTGCAGGGGTGAGGGCGGGGTGGGATACGTCTTCCTGTCTTCGTCTCCTGAACCCCCAGGGGGGCCCAGTCACAGGTTCTGGCCCAGAGGGATGGCACCAAGGTTCAATGATGGCCAGGAAGATGAGCCCGGGATGGGGACGGCAGCCCCCTGGTCCCCAAGATTCCGCTTCTGCTCACAACTGCGTGCTTGGCCCTGCTCTTTCCCCAGTATCTGCTGAGAGCCGGGGAGAGCCAGCTGAAGCAGGGTCCCGATTTCCTGCAGAGCCTCATCAAGTTCTTCCACGCCCAGCACAAGTAGGTCTCTGCCCTGTCCCCATCCCCCACACCATGGTCCTTGCCCCTTAACCCTTCAGGCAACACAAAACAAGGCCCCTCCCCAGGGTCTGGCAGGCCCTCGAGGACTCTGTGCCTTGTTGGTGATGCTTTGTACAGCTTCCCTTAAGGGGGTGTTCACCGTGTATCAGGCACTAAGTACTTTCTCTTACACATTGGCTCCCTCTCAATCCCCAGCAACCCATTTTCTCCTCAGAAACTAAGCCTCAGGTTTACTAACATCCCCCAGCTAGTAAGTGGGATCTAGACCCAGACAACTTGGGCTCTGGAGAGCGGGCTCCCACTGGAGAGAGAGCACCGCCCCAGGTGCCCCGCGATCCTTGGAGCACCTTCTCCCACACGTCCTGCTTCTCTCTTTCTCACCATTCTCATCCCTTGTTGGGCCTCACACCTCTTAGCTTTTTCCAAGATGGCTGGAAGGCCGCTCAGAGCCTGTCCCCCTTCATCGAGAAGCTGGCAGCCTCTGTACATGCGGTAAGTTGGGCCTCGGCCTTGGGGACCTGGTCAAGCCCCTGTCTTTCCGGGGGGAGTCTGAGGGTGGGGAGAGCTGGCCCCTGCTCGTCTCGGTCTGGGCCGTGCGCCTGGCCCGTCCACTGGCTGACAGAGGGGTCCTATGTTCCACAGCTCCGTCAAGCCCAAGAGGAGGAGCTCCAGAAGCTGATCCGGCTCCGGGACTCCCTCCGAGGGACACTGCAGCTTGACAGCAGAGAGGTCAGCCCCCGAATCATCCCCAAGTGAACGCTTTCTCCCAAGTCCTGCCGTGGAGGGAGGGAGAGGGGGACCCACTTCAAGGGTCCCTTGAGAAGTGTCTGAGAGGGACCCCTGCAGAATGAGGCTCTGCCCACCCAGACGCCCTAAGGTCTCCTTTGCATGTCGGAAGAACAGGAGACTCTGAGCCGGAAGAACTCGGGAGGCGGCGGCGGGGGCTACAGCATCCATCAGCACCAAGGCAACAAGCAGTTTGGGACGGAGAAGGTGGGCTTTCTCTACAAGAAGAGTGACGGGTAAGTGACCCTGAGAGCTTGACTAACTTGCCCAAAGCCACACGGCCAGTAAATGACAGTTGGGGGAGCTGCCCGGGGGAGCTGTTCTCATCATTTACGTAGACCCTGCGGGTTCCAGGACCCTCCGCTCTAGCAATGCAAAATCCTCTGAATCCTAAGCACGTGAACTTCTCCTAGAAGTCACTGGTTGTTCCTGACTTGAAAAAGGATAAAAGCAGCTGCTAGCAGTTAATGAGCACTTATTATGCCCTAGACCATCCCCGTGCCCTTCCCTTGAACCTCTGTAATATACTGAGTATGCCTGGAAGTGAAAGTGTTGACTGTGCCTTGCTCCCTGGTGTAAAAAAAAAAAAAATCAGTGTGTGAAATGCAAAGCCTCCATGGGATGTTCCCATTTCTCCTGACTACTCAGTTTTTAATCAGAGAATAATAATTTTGGTATACTAATTAATATTTACTTCTTGAAGAAGTGTTAAGTAGCTTTGGATCGTGGGTTTGCCGATTTTATTTTGGGGGGTCTCAATATTTATCTTGCTTTATCCTTAATCGTAATGCAGCTGTTGTGGTCGAGAGCCTGATCCTCCTCTCAGTCTGGGAGTTCCCTAAAGTCCGGAGCTGTGTCCCCTTTGTCAGACTAGTGGCTCTCAGAAGGCCAGGGTCACGTGATTCCCTTCAGAGTAAGGATTCCCAGAGAGTGGGGGCTCTGTTTCCCCCATCAGACTGGGAGGTACCTCAGGGCAAGACTATGTCTCCACCATCAGAAGGGAGCCCCAGAAAGTGAGGGGTGTAGGGGTCAGGGAATGAAGAGGTGTGGCTGGAGGTCAGACGGGTGGGGCCAGGGACCTGGTCAGAACTCTGTTTTCTGATACAGGGGAATTAGGTGTGAGCCTTGGGTCAGTGTCTCTCTATCCCTCTGGGCTCTAGAATTCGAAGAGTCTGGCAGAAAAGGAAGTGTGGAGTCAAGTATGGCTGCCTGACCATCTCCCACAGCACGGTGAGGCCTGGAGGGGACACGATCGATAGGTCCTCTCTTCACTTCTGAACAAACAAGTGTCAAACCCTCCCTCCAGCCCTGGCCCCCAAACCTGGATCCAGATCCCTGGAGACCCCTGTGGGAGGAAGGCTGGGACTCAAAGCTCTCAACCTAATCTTGGCCCACACTCCACATCCCTGAGGCACTGGAAGAAGGAAGACATGAACCGGAACAGGACAATTATGCCCATTTAACGGACTGGGAAAATGGAGGCCTGCGAGTTTGGGAGACCCAGAGGGGCACATGTGTCCTCTCTCCCCAAATTCCCACAGATAAACCGGCCCCCAGTGAAGCTGACCCTGCTGACGTGCCAAGTGAGGCCAAACCCTGAGGAGAAAAAGTGCTTTGACCTGGTGACCCGTGAGTACTCCCTGTCTCCTCCCCACAACTGCCCAGCGCATCTCTAAAAGACCTGCCGGCTCCCTGGAGGCTTCAGTTAGGGCCCCGTGTCCAGTCCCCCGTGTGTTTATCAGACGGCTGTTCCTGCAGGCATCAGACACCTGAGGCCCTGGACGCTGTTTTTAGAGGCTTTACTCCACAGATTATTAAATATTAAAATGTACTTCCATCCCACATTAAATATGATTATTTCTGTAAAGTGTATTTGAATGGATTTGGGTAATTCAGCTTTGGAAGTTATTATTTAACATTTTCACTCTTCATCCTTTGGAGGCTTTGGTGCCAGGTTTTACGTGGGGGCCGGTGCAGGCTGAGAAAGACCTAGATCTCATTCTAGGGCAGCTCTCTCTGGCAGGGATGTATGTGGGGACCCAGTAAGAAGATGGGAGTATCCAGAAGAGAGGTACAGATACAGCACTGTCAAAGATAAGGGAGGGGAAGGCCTGCCCTGCTGTGGCAATCAGGAAAGGCTACTTGGAGGAGAGAGCCTTTGAGTGTAGCCTTGAAGGACAGAGATCGCTGAGTTTGGGGGAGTGTGTTTCAGGAGACAGGACTGGCATGATGAAAGGCACGGGAGCAGGAGAGTGGGTCTGACCAGGCTGACCAGAGTGCAGAGTTCGCAGAGGAGAGTGGTGTGAGATGAAGCCTGGGAATGCCTCTTAAAGTTTCAGACCTTATTTTCTGGCAATAGGGAGCCACAGAGGGTCCTGAAGAGGGGGTGGCCTGATGAGATCAGAACCTTGGGCACAACAGTCTGGCAGATGGTACAGGTGAGGGAAGGGGGAGTTGGGGAGCAGGGAGACCAGACAGGAGGCTGAGGGCCCACGTGGGGTGGTGGCAGTAGGTTTGGAGGACACCCTGTCTCTGAGCTGGGGTTGGGGGGCGTGGTCCTGGAACAGGAGGGCCTTGGTAGGATCCTCCTTTGGAGGTGACTTCTAAGAAACAGCCCATGCTGCTAGCCACTATCCTGCCCATGGTTATCTGCCCCCCAGCTCCCAGATAGGCAGAGTCTGGAAGGGAACCCCAGAAAGTGAGGGGTGTAGGAGTCAGGGGATGAAGAGGTGTGGCTGGAGGTCAGATGGGTGGGGCCGGGGACCTGGTCCAGGACTGTTTTCTGATACAGGGGAATTAGGTGTGAGCCTTGGGTCAGTGTCTCTGACACTAGGGACAAAGCTCCACCTGGACCCCACGGGCTGGGTGAGGGCTCCTTGGATTTCTGTGGGCCAAACATACCCCCTCTCCCCACAGACAACAGGACATACCACTTCCAGGCAGAAGATGAACATGAGTGTGAGGCGTGAGTGACACCACCCCCCCCTTTCTACACACCCCCCTCCCCTGTCTCTCCCCACTCCCCTCCCAGCTGGAGACAACCTGGGGATGGGGACAGGGGAGCCTTATCTACCTCCCAGCCAGGTGACCCCACCCCTGCGGGTATCACTCCCATGCCCCCTCGCACCCTTTCCGTAGGTGGGTGTCAGTGTTACAGAACAGCAAGGATGAGGCCTTGAGCAGTGCCTTCCTCGCGGAGCCCAGTGGCGGTGGCCCGGGACCCTGGGGAGGCGCCGGGCTGGACGGGGAGCCCCAGGACCTCACGAAGCTGCTCATCGCCGAGGTGAAGAGCAGGCCCGGGAATGGCCAGTGCTGCGACTGCGGGGCTGCAGGTGGGCCAGCGGGGGTGGGGAGAGAGGAGGGAGCTGGCAGCGGAGGGGAAGGGCCGGCGCCTCCAGGCACGAGCCGCTCTCCTTGCAGACCCCACGTGGCTCAGCACCAACCTGGGCGTGCTCACCTGCATCCAGTGCTCGGGCGTCCACCGCGAGCTGGGCGTGCGCTTCTCGCGCATGCAGTCCCTCACCTTGGACCTGCTGGGCCCCTCCGAGCTGCTGGTGAGGGCGGGGCGGGGCCAGAGGGGGTTGGGGCGTGGCTTATTCGGGAGCGGGGCTTGGCCGACAGGCTCTGCCCCCAGGGTTTTGCGCTCGGGTCGGGCGGGGCGAGGTGGGGCAGGATCCTGAAGATCCGGAAAGGGGAGGGTCGGGGTCGGGCCTCTGCAGGTTCCGTCCTCCAGGGGCGCTGTCCTAAGCACCGGTCTTACCCCACCGCTTTCTTGCGACCCCAGCTGGCCTTGAACATCGGAAACACGCGCTTCAATGAGGTTATGGAGGCCCAGCTGCCAGCACAAGGCGGCCTTAAACCCTCAGCTGAGAGTGACATGTAAGGGGATTCTCAGATGGGGGACGGGCCGTGCGTCCTGGCTGGGGATTCTGCTTCTCCAGCTCCCGTAGTCTCAGGAGGATCTTGGGCCAGAAGTCTAGGGAGAAAGGAGCCGCAGATCTGGAAGAGTCCAGGACATGGGGCGGGGGTGGGGGGTGGGGGGTAGATCCGTGGCTCCTCTGGGATGGTTCCAGGGGTCAGCGGAGTGGAAACGGCCCATGCTCTGAGACTGTGGTTGACTTCGGCAGGAGCACGCGCAGGGACTACATCGTGGCCAAGTATGTGGAACACAGGTTTGCCCGCCGGTCCACACCCGAGCCTCAGAGACTCCGAACGGCCATTTGCAACCGGGACCTCCTGTCAGTACTGGAGGCCTTTGCTAATGGGCAGGACTTTGGACAGCTGCTGCCTGGGCCTGAGGGACAGGTGAGGACCCCCTCCAAGGGCCACTTATATCCCACCCCCTCTCATACTCCCCAGTCCTTCTCCAGGACCAGCTGTCACTCTCCTCTGCCCCCCACCCCCGACATCTGTTCAAAGCCCACCTGTTGGAGGGGTAAATGGGGTAAATGGGACAGAGCACTTCCGTGGGGCAGACCTGGGCCAGAGTCCTGGCTCTGTGTTTTCCTAGCTGTGTGATCTAGAACAGGTGACTTCACTTCTCTGAGCCTCCGTTTCTCATCTGTGAAATGAGTGGATGATAGCACCCCAGGGTTGAAGTGAGAATGAAGCATGTGTATAAAGGGCCAAGCACATAATATGTGTGCAAGAAGTGTTAGTATCTTTCTTTTTCCTGGACTAACCTTGGACATGGGTAAAGGTGAGTCAGATTAGGTCAGGGAAGCCTGTTGCATTGGTGATTCTGGTAGCAAATATCCCATGAGCCAGGGAGTTGGGAGGGGAAGGTTGTCAGAGACGTCTGAAAGGTTAAATTGGCAGTAGTTGCTGACTGTAGATGAAAAATGGATGTCGCCTTTGAACTGTCTGATATCTTGGTGGGACTGTCCAGTGGGCAGTGAGGGTGCAGCACTTAGATGAGGTAGGAATTTGGAACAGCCTGCACATGAGTGAGAGCTGAAAGCCTGAGGTTAGCTGAGCTCTCGGGGGACCAGCGAGAGAGAAGAACAGAGAGAGCAAGGCTGGGGCTAAGAACCGAATTTGGGAAGCATGTGTTACTGGGAGCAAGAGGAGGCAGAGCCACGGAAGGAAGCATGGAGGAAGGGTCTCTCCTCCCCAAAACGAAACTCCCTCTCCACAGTCTCCTCTCTCAGGGTTCTGGCAGCTTTATATCTGGAGATGTCGGGGGGCAGCAAGAGTTCAAAAGGGTGATACTGGGTTGGGGACAGGTGAACTGGGGGAATCTCAGAGGTGTGGACGTGTACCCAGGCACCTGGAGAGCTCGCCCTGCACTTGGCCATCAGAGTCGCCAGCCCTGCCTCCTTGCCCCTGGTGGACTTCATCATCCAGAATGGGTGAGAGCCTCCCTGCCCATCTGCCCACCTCCTCATCCTCCTCCACCCCCATCCCGTTCCGTTCTCTTCTCCACAATCCTTCCCCCCTCCCTCTTTTTTTCCCTGACTTTGACCCCTTCCCCTGTCTGTTCCCCTTCCTGCCTCCCTGTCCTCCCCCCACAGAGGTCACCTGGATGCCAAGGCTGCTGACGGGAACAGCGCTCTGCACTGGGCTGCTCTCTACAACCAACCTGACTGCCTCAAGCTGCTGCTGAAAGGGAGAGCTTCGCTCGGCGCAGGTGGGGCTCCCAGCACGTCCCCCAGCAGACTTCCATTCTTTCCTGCCCCTGGTGTGGAACTTCCTGCCCTCTTCCCAGACCGAGGGTGTGGGTAACAAGCACAGACTTTGCAGATAGACTGGGGTTCTAATCCTGGTTTGCCTCTGACCACCTCTGTGACCTTGGGATTTGTCCATTCATCTCTTGAACCTCAGCTTCCTTGTGTGTAAAGTGGGTATAATACCACTGACCTAGCAGACCTGCAAAGAACATAAAATGATGTTTCTGAAAGTACCTAACCAAGTAAATACTAGCCGAACGCAAATAATAGTGATTATGATAGCCACTATTTACCGGCATAGTAACTCCTTTAGTACTCACGACAGCCTCGTGAGGAGGTTACAAGTATTACACTTATTTTATAGATAAGAAAATCAAAGCCCAGAGACACTAGGTAACTTGCCCAAGCTCACACAGCCGGGAAGTAGCAGAGCCAAGATTCAAACACAATCTGATTCCAGAGGCCCATCGTAACCTCTAAGCTAGAATGCATTTGACCTTGACCGTGACCCTTGGCTTTACCCCTCACAGTGAACGAGGCAGGAGAGACAGCTCTGGACATAGCCAGGAAGAAGCAGCACAAGGAGTGTGAGGAGCTGGTGAGGTCTAGGAAAGGAGGGGAAGCCCCTTACCCTTTCTGTCTCTCTGCCGAGCCCCTGACCCTCTGAACTGCCAGGGCTTTGTTATTGGCAGCTGGAGCAGGCCCAGGCTGGGACCCTCTCCTTCCCTCTGCACGTGGACTACAACTGGGGAATCTCCCCTGAGCCTGGCTCTGACAGTGAGGAGGATGAGGAAGAGAAGGTGAGTCCCGGCCCCGTCTCTCGGGCCTTTGTTAGCCCATGGAAGGAGCCCGATTGGGCCTGGCAGGGGGAGGGCCAGGGCTGAACTGGAGGAACCAGACCATCCTTTCTCCCATACTTTTGCCCCTGCAGCGCTCTCCTCTGAAGCCTCCAGCCCAGGCCCGCTGGGCCAGCGGGAGGGTCGACCTCAGCAATAAAACCTATGAGACCGTCGCCAGCCTGGGATCAGCTGCCCCTCAGAGCCAGAGTGAGGCCTGCCCCCCACCCTTGCCGGTCAAAAACCCTTCTCGGACCATGGTCCAAGGGCGTGCAGGACATGCCAGCGGAGGTATGGCCAGCCACCCGGAAAAGTGCTCCCCATACCGTTCACGGATGGTCTGCCGTGTGCTGGCGCGCTGAGCTAAGGCTATGTGCGGTAGTCCACGCCCCCCTCCCACCCTCGCAATCACCTGTCAGGTAGAGGCTATCATCTCCCCCCTGCAGGTAAAGGAACAGAGATGTTAAGTCACGTGTCCAAGTCACGTGTCCAAGATCCCACAGCTAAGTCCCTGATGTGGGATCCCAACCCAGGTCTGTCTTATTCCAGATTCCTCAATGCTGTGCTTAAGTAAAAAGGCAGAGAAGCACGTACTGACCACCCACTGGGTGCCCGAGAGGCAGTCTAGTGGGGGAGATAACAGCTAGAATGCAATTCATTACAATATCAGACACCATGGTACAGAATGTAAATCCCCACCCCCACCCCACGAGGGATGTAAATCTCAAAAGGACAGGGATTGGAGTGTTCTGGGACTAGTATTTCGGCACCTGGCTGGCCTCAAGAACTGTTTGTTGACTGAATGAAGAAGCTTGTTCTGGGAGCTCAGGGGAGGGAGGGAGCATGTCCTGTTGGGACTGAGGGGTGGCTGAGGAGGGCGTCCTGTCCTGTCGGCACCTGAGCTGAGCCTGAGGGGTGAGCAGAGGAGTCCAGACTGAGGACCCAGGGGAGCAGAAGCAAAAACAGTGCGTCACTAGCCCATGAGACCCAAGCAGAGTGGGGAGAAGCTGGAGGGGAACACCAGATGGGGGGGCGTGGCAGTGGGGGCCGCCGTGATAGGCCCTAGAGGCCAAGGACTGCTTTGACATTGAGAACAGAGTAAGACATAAAGACAGGTTTTATCACTTCTTTTTTTTTAATAAATCTTTTTTTTTTTAAGATTTTATTTATTTATTTGACAGAGAGAGAGATCACAAGTAGGCAGCGTGGCAGGAGGAAACAGGCTCCCTGCTGAGCAGAGAGCCCGATGCAGGGCTGGATCCCAGGACCCTGAGTTCACGACCTGAGCAAGGCTGTGGCCCAACCCCCTGAGCCACTCAGGTGCCCCAGGTTTTATCACTTCTGATTCCAGATCGTTCTGAAGTCCCCGGCCTGAGCCCTCAGGAGCCCTGCGGGGCCCCTGAGAGCCCGGGCCGTCCAGTCTCCACCTCTTCCACCCTCACAAACCCCGTGGACGCTGCGGGTCCCAGCCAAACCCCACCCAGCTCTGAGGAGGGCCCCTCCCGACCCAGCCTGACATCTGGAAGCACCCCTGCAGAGATGTATCCCCCGGTCAGGTTCAGGTAAGAGCCCAGCTCTGCCGCTGAGCAAGTTTTTCCCGACCCCTATGTACATCGTCTAGCTCCCCACTCGTAAATGGTGGCTGCCTAAAGACTGGGACACCTCCCAGCTCCGAGGCCTACAACTAACGCAATACGCTAGCCTTCGAGTGGGGGTGAGAGGACCCTTCGCCCTTCACACACCTGCCCTGAGTCCAGCCGGAAGGGCTGGGAAGGAGCCTGGAACTCCCACTGCTGCAGATGGGGTAGAAAAGGCTGAGTCCCGCCCGTGTGGCTTCTTCTAGAGGTTCTCGGTGGGATCTCTGCTATGTCCCATCGCCAACCCACAATCCAGTCCTCCCTTCCCTGTACACAACGCTTTCGGTTTTGAGTCTGGAGAGCAGACACAGGAAAGCTCCAGTTCCACGCCTCTGTAGCCTGTGATGGGCCGAGCCAGGACCCTGGAGGACACTGTCCCCACTTGTCTCAGTCCCCAGCTGATACCTGACTCTTTGTCCCTGCTCTAAGAGGCTCTCGGCATGAGGTCACCTTGGCCTTTCCCTGCCTTCCAGCTCCGAGAGCACTCGCTCGTATCGGCGGGGTGGGCTGGAGCCTGGAAGACTGTCCCTCAGCCAGGCAGCCTCTGCCCACAAGGAACATGCTGGTATGAGCTCTGGGACTGTGGTTCGAGGGGTGGTGGCAGGACATGTGGGAGGCAGAGTTGGTCAACAGTAGGTGAGTGGGGTGGGGTCATGGGGACCTCTGCCCATGGCCAGAGTCTATAGGAGGCTGGGTGGCCACAGTTCGGCCAGTCCCTTCCCCTGGTGTGCCCCCTTCCCCCTCCAGCCCAGGACTCATGAAGCTGGGGAGAGCCCAGGTCTTGAGGGATGGCAGAGGTGAGGACGCCCAAGCTAGGGCTTCTCTCCAGGGGAAGATGAGCAGACCTGTGTCAGCCAGGCTGGGGGCTCACTTCCCTGCAGATGAGACAGGATTAGGGTGGCCGGAGAGCGGCCCTTGGCTTGCCAGCTGTCCCCTTGTATAGGAGAGTCTCCTGAATCTGCCCAGACAGGCCACTCCCAGGCAGAGAGGCGTGTGACAGGGACAAGGCAAGAGCGGTCACCCTGAATCCGGCCTCTCCCTGCTGAATCGTGACATCTCTCACATTCACCCATAGTTAGTTGGGGATCCTGGGAGTGGGCACAGGACAGAGCCAGTTGGGCTGAGCACGAAACCACTGTTCCCCTAGGGATCCCTCAGGGGTGGCAGTGGTTGCTGTGCTGGGAGTCAGAGACAGCAGGGGCAGGAGCTGGGCCTCTCTGAGGAATCGTCATCCTCAGTCCATCAAAGTCAGGTGCCAGACCCCAATCTGTGTCCACAACCAGGTATCCGCCCCCAGCATTTAGCGGATACATGTTGGTGGCACATGTGTGATAAGAAGAGCTTGGACTGTAGGACATGGAGGACTTGGAAAAGTGGCTTTGCTTCTTCAAGCCTCAGTTTCGTTGTCTGTGAAATGGGGATAATGTCCTCTATCCATGATAGGATGGTGGTGGAACTGAGGTGGTATGTAATATAGGTACTTGGAACATGTCAATTTTCATTCTTCTCTCCCCAGGTTGGCTTCACTGAAGGAGAGGACTCCAGGAGAGGGGTTCTCCTGGAAACTCTGCACAGCTTTTGCAAAGCTAGCTCCTTGCTGGTCCTTGCATGCCAGAACTAGCACCCATGTGGGACCCCAATGTTCAGTGCTAGGACTTGAGCCCACAAGACCAGGGAACTGAGTTCTCCATTACCTTAGGTCTTGCTCTGTCTGTACCTTGTGCCTCTGTGGCTGGCCTTCCTCCCTGCCGTGGGCCCGTGCCCCCTCCAAAGATACGGGGCCCTTCCATATTTGGGCTGATGGCAGTTCCTTCCCCTCTATCCTGTCCCCGCCCCGGGAGCTCATTAGCTGGGTCTGAGTACTCCTGAGCTACCGTTCGCTGCAGAACCCTCAGTCTCTCATCAGACCAGAATATCTTTCTTCCATCAGTCTGGGGGCTCCATAAGAGTAGGGCCAGCCCACCTTCATCATCCAGACCAGGGATTCTGCCAGCCAAGGGGCTGTCTTTTTGGACGTTCGTTAGTCTAGTACTTTACTGAATTTTTCTCTACGTCCAGATGCCACACGAGTAAGACAAGGGTCTTGCAGATGTGGTCCCTTGCTGTGTCGCTGGTCCCAAAGGCTGGGTTTAGGAATCAGCAGGGCTAGATTCCAGGGGATGGTCCCGGGCCCAGGGGTAGACAGACAATCAGCTGCCTTACACCGATGGGATGCTGCATTGTCTGCAGCTCGCATCCATCCTGGTTGGCCACTGCTCGAGCTGTACCGGCTGTTAAGTAAACAAGCACTAGCATTCCGTTTGAGGAACCGCGCAGCCCTCCTGGGGACCTCTGCTCTATTCCTCAGCCAGGAAGCAGGCTCGGAGTAGCCCCCCTTTGCCTACTGTCCTTGATGTAACAGGAAGGAAAGGAATGGTCTGGGATGATTGATCTTCCCTTCTCTCCTTTTCCTTTGCTCAACTCAGAAGCCTTCCAGTCTTGGGGGAGGAAAGAGCTAAGAAAGGAGGAAGGAGAATAATAGGAATGGGAAGGCAGGGACTCAAATTCTGTTTCCCAGACCCAGAAGTGCCACCATGACTTTCAGCCCCATATTAGAAAACAGGTACAGCTAAGCCATCATCAGTCTCTAAGATGGTTTTATGGGCACCCGGCACTGAGCCCTGGCAGGGATGGGTCAGGCCAAACAGGAGAGGCCAGAGAGTGCCAATGGCCAATGAAGCAATCTGGCCTGGGAGGCGGGGCTGTGTATTCTGGAGACCAGCCTGGTCTGGGATCCCACAGATCCCAATGGGCTTGTCTTCTGGGCCTCCAGCGTCTGGTTTTGTTCATCTCAGACTTGTTATCTCACTCATCTCTAATAAAAGTGTTGTTTTTTTTTTTTTTTGCATTAAATTCAGTGGCTTCATTTGTGGGATCTGAAGAACAGGGAAGGGGTGGGAATCCTAGGGCCTGGAATTCTTTCTCTGGACCTACTAAGGAAGACCACAGCGTGAATAGGGGTTTGCCCCCAGGGGTGGTTTTGCCCCCAGGGGGATGTTTGGCAACACAGAGACCTTTTTTGACTGTTGCCAACTGGAAGGTACTACCAGCATCTAGTGGCTAAAGGCCAGGGATCCTGGTGACCACCCTCCAGTTCACAGCTCAGCCCCCAAAACAATGGATCATCCCATCCAGAATGTTGACGGTACGTGGGTTAAAAACCCCGGTGCAGAGGAAGTGTGCTGGCCAGGGAGCCAGCACAGTCCACAGTCCTTGTCTCAGGTTTAGGTTGACCACAGTCCTTATCTCAGTTTGTGGTCCCCTGAGACAAAGATCTGGGAGCAAGGAGTTTATAGTTTGCAAGGTGATCCCAGGAAATGTAAAGAGGAAGTAGGGAGTGGACTACTGGGTCAAAAAGTAATAGGAGGTGTGTTAATGAGAGGCTACTGTGAACTAGGGCTTATCTTCAGGACCTTCGAGAGACTATTGATTAGAATATGTCTTCGGGGCACGTGGCTGGCTCAGTCAGTAGAGCATGCGACTCTTGATCTCGGGGTCATGAGTTCGAGCCCCATGTTGGGCACAGAAATTGGTTTAAAAAAGAATAAAAAAGAACAAATCTCTGAGTTTTCCCACTGAAAGTGAAAAAATTGGTGTGTTTGCCACCACATCTTTTGTTGTCTTACGTTGGCTGAGGGGTCCTGCCTGGGAGTGTCCATTTCCAAGCACCTCAGCCTGCTCTGAAGCCCTCATCCCGAGATGTGGGAAGGTGTTGGAGGTGCGTCCAGGAACAGCCTGCTGTGACCTCCAAGCGAGGGCAGGAAGAGGGAATACGGCGGGTACCAACAGTGTCTGATACGGTTGAGTCATGCAACCCTGGGCTGCTCTAAGCCTCAGTCTTCCCATCTGTACAATGAAGAGGTTGGACTTGATGTTTTCTTAGGGTCCTTTGAGCCCCAGTGATGTAGGTGTCTTGGCTTCTGTCATACAACTCACCGTGGGAACTCTGTGGAACTTTGAGGAGGATCAGCTCTGCTTTTTTCTTTTTTCAAGGCAATCCTGGGGCACCTGGCTGGCTCAGTCAGTGGAGTGTGTGACTCTTGATCTCGGTGTTGTAAGTTTGAGCCCCACATTGGGTGTGGAGTTTACTTGAAAATAAAATCTTAAAAAAAAAAAAAGGCAACCCTAAGTAACCACAGACAGCTGTCCCTTCAACCCAGAGGTTGCTTGGGAGTTGACCAAGAGACCTCCGCACATCCCAAACATAATGTCTAACCTCCTAAAAGTGGCCCATAATGCTGGCGTGGTCAGACCACACTCACCTCTGGCTTTCTGCCCTGTCTTCCCCCAAAACCAACCTCTAAACTATAGCCCTGCCAATATTTCAGTTCTTCCAACCCTGACACACCAAGCCCACTCCCATCCCTAAGCTTTGCACGTTCAGAGCTCCGGGAAGACTGTTTTGTTCCTCTCTGGATGCCCAGGGCTAGAACTGTCTGGCAGAGTAGGTGTTCAATACATGTTGAATGAATGAATGAATGTTTCTTCCTCCCTTATGTGAATAGTCCCTTCCCACCCCCAACTCCCACCCCACACTTCTGCCCCAAAGATTAAACTTCCTTTCTTCAGGGTAGGTGAAACCTCCACTGGTGCGGGTCCTCTCAAATGTGTCCTTAAAGTATCCTTTACTTCTTCCTGACCCTCACCCCACTTGTGATAATATATTTGACTGCACCCAAATTCCCTTAGGTTTTCTCCTGCCCATAGACTGTATCTCAAGTTTGCTGGGACTAGTCCTGGACACTCAAAATGCATTTGTTGAATGAAGATAAACTCACTCCTTCCTACCATAGTCCCAGGTCACTCACTCAGCAGCAGTTAGAAGCCAGATGAGCCGTCAACCCAGGCTGGGATGGAGTTCTCTAACACTGAACACCCCAAGCCACTGTGTCCCCCCTCTGCATACAGCACTGACCACTTTTCATGCTTCCCCTCCAGGTCCCTAAGCACCTCTTCCAGCAAAAAGATAATGTTGTGTTAATTACGCTCACCAGTTTAGGACTCTTCCTGGGTGTGCTGGAGACACTTGGAAGGAAGGTCCTTCCATGGGAACACAGATGGGTGCGCAGCTGTGAGGGCACAATTCTCTTTACTCCTTTCATCCAAGATCCCCCCTCCAGACCCGATCCCACTGGGGAGGCAGGTGGCCTGACCCTGAATAAATTAGGGGCACCCATCCACCCGGATCAGCATTTCTCAAAATTTGGCGCACCTAAGAATCTCCCAAGTCGTCACTACACAGAAAGCAGTCCTCGGCACAGCCCTGCCTGCTGCACTCACTCGGGGGAGCTTGTAAGAAACGCAACATCTCACTGCAGCCAAGAAAATCGATGGAACCAGAGGGCCTGGGTGCACGCGTGTACACAGACTGTGTGATCGAATGAGCGGGCCCCGGTAGAGCAGAGTTGGATTTGACCGCCGCGCACGAAATATGAGCCGAGCGCTGCAAGCTGCCTGCACTTGGGCGCAGGCACGGAGCTAGGTCCGCCCGCTTGGAGCTGCGACCGTGCAGAGTCGCTGGAGCCAGGACTCCTCCCAGAGCGCTGGGGCACCCTCAGGCGCCCTCCTTGCCGAGACAGCCCCTTGCGTCCGGGGACCACGGCCTCCCCAATTGCCAAACCTCGCTTCGGCAGAAGGGCCGAGGCGCAGGGCCCTCTCTCGCGCGGCCCCGTCCCTCTCGAGAGGCCAAACCCGCCGGCGCCGGCAAACTTTGCCCGCGCGAGTCCTTGAAGTCTATATTTAGTGCACGTCACCCCTCCCCCCCTGCGGCTGCGAGGCGGGCGGGCCGAGGGGGTGTGGGGGGAGAGCCCCGCCCCCGCAGGCGTGTGCGTCGTGTGGGTTTGGGGCCCGCGCGGTCGCGCGCCCTCCGCCTTCGCGCCTCCCGCAGCCCAGGCGCCCCTCGCCCCGGCGGGCGTCGCGCGCCAGCATGGGCCAGGAAGAGGAGCTGCTGAGGATCGCCAGAAAGCTGGAGAAGATGGTGGCCAGGAAGAACACGGTGAGGCCGCAGAGTTCGGGCCACGGCCCCCGCCTCCAGGAGGCGCGGCGCGTGCGAGCCGGGAGTCCCGGGGGCGCGTGCTGGCCAGGCGCCCGGGAGGCGCGTGCGGGACGCCGGGGCCCGAGGGAGGAGCGGCTGGCGCAGGACGCAGCGCTCCTTGGGGGCTGCTGCGAACCCCCGGGGTGGGCGTGTGCCCGGCCCAGGGCGCTGGGCAGGATCGCGCGGGCCCCAGAGACGAGGCTTATGCACGCCTCTCTGGACCAGCGGGGTTCAGGGGCCCTGGGTGGCTTGCGCAGGGCCCGGGAAAGCGAGCGAAGAGACCGGGACCTGGAAAAGGACTTTCGGAGTCCGGGGACTCAAGGCAAAGTCCGGGGAGTGGTGGCGACAGCGGGGCGGGGGAGAAGGGGGAACGGCGCGGGGAGGAGGGGGTGGATTGCAAAATCCTGGGTGCCCGAGAAGGGGCAAAGAAACTTGAGCTGATGTAGGGTGCTGAGCCGCCTCCATCCCTCATCCGGGGAGCGGATCTAGGGTAAGGCAGCAAGGGACCGCAGATCCCACAACCTCACAGCCTGCGGGCGCCAGGAGCGGTTCTACTTGCAACTTTCCCTTAACTTGGCCGCTGGGTG